TTCTACCAAGGATTGCTGCACACAGAGATTGGAACTAGCTCAGAAAGAGGTAGGCAGCAAAGCCCACAAGGCAAACCCGTCTGAACCCCCTAACATCAACCGTGGAGCTATAGGATTGGGGGTTTGCCCTGCTGGGTTTCAGCCTTACTTTGTCTGGTGTTAACTTGCTGTAGCCGGATTCCTCCCTTTTGGAATGAAAATGCATACTCTCTGCCATTGTACGTGTGCAAGTATGTAATTTGTTTTTTGATTTTTATAGGGGGCTTACAATGAAGAGACTGCCAAGTCTCAAAAGAGACTCTTGAAGTTGGACTAAACATGTTTTGCTTTATGATATGACCTTGAGCCTATGGGACATGGGGATGAAATGTGATTTGAAAGAGAATGCCTTGTACAGGTTCAGTCGTTTTAATTCTAGATCCCAAGTTGTTTGACATTGTGAGGGGAGGCTTAGGAGGTGTGGCCTTGCTGGAGGAAGTATATCACTTGGGGTGGACTTTGAGGGTTCACAGCCTCTCACCATTCCATTTGCTCTCTGCTTTCTGCTTGTGGTTTAAGATGTCTTAAGCATGCCTGTTGCCATGCTCCCTGCTATGATAGTGGTGAGTCAAATAGATACCTCCCTAAGTTACCTTAGTTATAGTGTTTAGCACAGCAATAGAAAAGTAATACAAAAAATAAGTTCAAAGTTAAAACCAAAGATCATAAAAGTATTTTCATGATCTTGGAATTGATTGCTAGATCTGGTATATTGTTGGGCAGTAGTGAAAGCAGATTAAAAGAGGCTTTGCCAGCCAGATACTGAAATACTCGGTAAAGTTTCTGAGTCCTAATTAAACCCAGTTTGCTGACTACTGTCACAGCTGCCACTCATCCTGCAGAGCGTCTTGTTTTACATTACGTACGCAGAAAGGAGAATTTGAAGATGAATCATTTAGCATGCTTTTGCTGGTACCAGAATGAAAAGCCTTACCACATTCTTTGTACTTCATCTAAAACTTGGTGCTGCGGATTCATCTCATTTCAGTTTTCAGAATTGCCTGCCAAAGTACATTAACAGTCAAAGTAAGTAGTCCCTGCCCTCAGGGAAAGTCTTCCTTCACTGTCTACTTTCAAGCTCTCTGGGAGCTTCGTCACTTTGGAGCTGTGACTCTTGCTGGGTAGAGAACGTAGAGTGAGACATTAGGTTTGAGACAGTCCCTGGTGATTGCTTGTTGGCATACTGTGCTTCTTGCAAGGGTAAGCAATGTATTTTTTCACAGTAGCTTAAGGTTGGAGTTGTCTTTTTGTTTCTTGATTTTTTTTTTTTTTAAGACAAAGTTTCTCTGTGTAGTCCTAGCTGTGCTGGAGCTCACTTTGTAGATCAGGCTGTCCTTGAACTCACCAAGATCCTCCTGCTTCTACCTTCTGAGTGCTGGAATTAAAGGCATGCACCAACACTGCCTGGCATTTTGTATTTTTTTTCTTTTGTGTTGTTTTTATTTAAGGTTATCTTGACTTATCTCTTACTATGAAGTCAAGAATAGCGAGCTTCTGATCATCCTGCTCATACCTTTTTAGTGGTGGAATTACAGGTCATCCAGCTTGATACTGAATTTCCTAAATGAAGCTTTAATCATCTCTGCATAGTATCTGAACCCAAGGCAAGAACTGGGATATGATACATCCAGTTCCACTTTGCCTTGAAGAAGCACTGTGCAGATGGGAGATGTAACAGGCTCCTGCTGCTTCTTTCAGCCCTCTGGACCTGTTTTTACATTTTGTGTGTGTGTGTGTGTGTGTGTGTGTGTGTGTGTGTGTGTGTGTGT